AAATATTATAATAAGAGTCATCTATGATAATCATAACCCACAGTCAACATCCTGGAGTTTGAGACTGCAGCGAGCCATGATTGTACCACTACTCTCCAGCCTGAGTGATGGAAAAAGACTCTGTCTTTACAGAAAAACAACAAAAATTAAGCATACCCTTACCATACAATCTAGCAAATCACACTCCTCAACATTTACCCATATGATGTGAAAACATGTTCATACAAAACCTGCGCCTGAATGTTTATTAGCAGCTCAATTCATAATTTCCAAAACTTGGAAGTAACCAATATGCAAGTGAATGAATAAATTAGTATATCCAGACAATGGAATGTTATTTAGTGCTAAAAAGAAATAAGCCATCAAGCTATGAAAAGACATGGGACGATGTTAAATGCATATTACAGAGTGAAAGAAACCAATTTGAAAAAGCTACATACTGAATGATTTCAACTATATGATACTGTGGAAAAAGCAAAACTATGGAGACTGTAAGAAGGTAAGTTATTGCAATGGGTTGGGTGGGTAGGGAGGATGGCGGAACACAGGAGATTTTCAGGCCAGTGAAATTATTCTGTGTGATACTACAAGAGTAGATCCATATCATGATCCATGTGTTAAAACCCAAATAAGGTACAACACTAAGAGTGAACTCTAATGTAAACTATAAACTTAAGGTGATGATGTGTGAAAATGTACCTCAGTAACATATGTATGTACCACTGTGGTACAAGCATGTTCATAGTTGTGGAGTTTGTGGGATGGGGGCAGGGGATATGTGGGAATTATTTGTATGTTCCACTGAACTTTTCTATAAACTTAAAACCCCTAAAAAATAAAATTGGTTAAATAAAAAGAGAAGCTAGTATATACAACATTTCAGGTGGTCTGTGGATTGACAGAGCACATACTCATCTGTCATTAGATTAAGTTCCTTATGTATTGAGCCAATGTCACAAATCTTGTCAGAGATTACATAGCCACACAGTGTAGAAACAGATACATAATGCTTTCCATAGCCCCGCTTCCCTAATGCAGAACCTTTTCTAGGGTGTGTTGGGTCCTTGTCTCCATATACAATTTTATTAAATGTTGTATTACAAAAGTAACAATGATTTAATGATGAAGATTCAGAATATGGGATAGAGAAGAGGAACTTATCCATTCATTTATTGTCTAGTCAGTGCATGTGAAGTTTCCAGGCACCACTTTTTCCTGTTCAGTTTTGAGAACTTTCCTTCTTGTCCTTTATTGTCAAATGTACCACTTCTGGCTATTTTTTATAATCTTCTACCATGAGAAAAAGGCAGCAGTGTTATTATTCATAAAGCTATGGCTCTTTAAAATCTGTTTGTATTGAAGCAGAATAGACAGATTTTTTTACTTCTGTAGTTCCCAAATACTATTAACTTAATATTTGCTATATTGTTACTTATGACACTGCATTGTTGGCTTCCAGGACTTGAAACTTGTTACCACATTTAACAGGTGATGACCAAATGCAGGTCTTAACCCAGGGTTGTCAGCAAAGTGTGAATGATAATTTATCTTCTGGTTGTGTTAAATTTGCCATTTGGAATTTTAGAGCATAAACAGAACAGCACATCTTCTAACCAAATATTCCCTTGAACTCTTGAAACCATAAACACTGTGTTTCTACAATATGCTCCCTTCCAGTGTTGACTGTACCCCTGCTTTCCCTCACACTACCATGAAGAGTAGGCAAGGACCATGTTATTATCAGAGGGTATGTTCAAGATCTCTTTTCCTTTTTTTTAACGTTTCCACATGATTGTACTACTATTAAGGAATAGAAACGACCACCAGAAATCTTTGGTTGCCCTCCATTTGGTAGCTATTATTTACTTCTTGGAAGCCAAAGTTGCTCAGAACATCACTTAAATTGCTTTTCTCTTCTATAAGTGTCAGACTTGGAATTTAAGTCATACTGTTAGACATGAGGGACTGCTGAAGCAAATGATATGAGCAGACTGTGGCATGTCTGTCAGAGGTTCCTTGATGCTGATAAAAGCGGTAGTGGGGTTATGATGACTTCTACTGACTTGTTCTAAAAATCAACACAAATATATTTAGGTTTTATTATTGTAATAAAGGGAAACTTGAAGTGGGAGAAAATGAGTTTATAAATCAGTTTTTTAAAAGACATCCAGATACCACTTTTAAAAAAATGGATTAACACTTTTAGTGGCTTAAAAACCTCATACCCACCCCCTCTACATGGAAGAAGAATAATAAACAGCAAAGAAACAAATGAAAATGCTGATTTTAATATAAGATTTTTTTCCTAAGTGTATTTTCCTGTGAGCACGACCAGCGACGTAATTCCTGAGGCCCAGTGCAAAATGAAAATGCCAGGCTCCATGTTCAAAAATTAAAGCTGTCAAGATGGCATTATGAGGTACCTAGATTGGAGGGGTGAATGAGAGATTCATCTTTACCGAGTCATGGCCTCCAGATACCTGCCGTATGCACCATGACTCTGGGCATGTGCTGTTGAACCAATGCCCAGGCATCTGCCTAAGCCAAGGACAGCAGTAGTCACTGGAGAGGGGATAGCAAGGGGGATACCAGATAGGACCTGGGACAGCAAGATGGGGAAGTGGTGCCCGAGAACCAACTGAAGACAGAGAGCAGGAGGCAGGGATGCCTGTGAGCCTAGCCTACAAGTCTCTGAAGCATGCTCTTTTGTCTCATTAGACCACTTATAAAACAGAAATTAACAGTAAAATTATTAAGAAATCTTAGATGGCAACTGCAAAGTATTAAAACATTAAACCCCAGTGGCCCTGTATGACTGGCCCTGCCTTGGACTTTTACCAATGTGTACTGCTAATATCACCTGATCATATGGGAAGCACTGTAGAATTATGCTGACCATGAAAGGAGGAGTGAACGTATCACATAATTTATAATATAGATAACGTTGACATAAGATATCAAGAATTGATAAATAGTTTAGATTCCAATAAATTCATTAGTGAACTATTCTTATTGCACAAACCCAAACTAAGGTAGGGGGATGGAGGAGGATGACTATCTTAGTCTGTTCAGGCTTCTGTAACAAAACACCATAAACTAGGTAGCTAACAACAGAAATTTATTTCTTATACTTCTGGAGGCTGGTAAGTCCAAGATCAAGATGTCAGCAGATTTAGTATCTGGCAGGGGTTTTATTTCTGATAGATGGCTGTCTTCACACTGTAACTTAATAAGGAAGGGAAGAACTCTAGTTTCCTCAGTCCCTTAGAAGGGTACTGCTCCCATTTAAGACAGATCCACCCTTATATCCTATTCACCTCCTAGGAGCCCCACCTTTTGATACTATCACATTGCCATTAGGTTTCACCATATGAATTGTAGGAGCACACAAACATTTAGACCATTAGCAATGACTAAAAAAGGCTCACTACTTACTGGAGCTGAAAGTTACAGACATTAGGGACTATAAAACAAGATAGTCATGATGTGTGCTGTAATAGAGATAAAACAAGAACAACAGGAAAACTAGGAGTAAAGAGATTAACTTTGACAGGGACTGTGGACAAGCCCTTTGAATAAAATGACTTTAGTCAGGCCATGATGGATAGGTAGAATTTCTATTCCCAAATATTTGTCCTTCCAAACTAAAAGGGACAGTATGAGCAAAGATTGTGAAATGCAGAGCTTGTTGACAGATGCCTACATGTGGAGACATTCAGGCATTATTTTATTATATTGAAGGAACATCTATTTTCCAGACACTAAAATGAAAGCAGGGACATAAAAATACAGAATTTGGAATTAGACAAAGCCACATTGGAGTTGCTATTTACCACTTACCAGTTGTGTGACTGGAGATAACTTGCTTAACTAAGCCTCAGTCATCTGTAAAATAAAGATAGCAGTTTTGTAGAAGTATTGTACATATGAGGATTAGCTGATACAATGTTTGTAAAACACTTCGACCAGCACTCTCAATCTGGGAAAGGAGAAAAGCAAATAGACTTATAATTGTGATAATAAATGCTATGAAGGCACAAAAAAGAGTGGCTCTGTCTGCTTGAGGGTGTTGTGCAAGGCTTCATGAAAGAGATGATATTAGAACTGAAGTCTGAAGGGTAAGTCATGTGTTTGCAAGCTGAGGAAAACTGAAAAAATTTCTTCTTAGGGTGAGGTTTGAAAATGAACTCACTTTATAATCTGTGTGGGGTGAGGGTAGGGATAGGGATGGAAGAGTAGCAAGCAAGAAAAAGATGATCATATATCCTTTAAATCTATGTATAAAGACAAAAAATAATGTCTCATTACCACCCCCAAACCACTTTTACCTGATTTGAAATACCGGACTCTTCTACTAAGAAAAGACAGGAGACCTTCTGTGGTGAGCTCTCCCTCATATAAGACGTAAACAAGTTTGCATGACAACTTCTGAGGCAGATGTTGTCGTTATTTTCTTCCTTTTTTTTTTTTTGTTATTGTTGGTTTTTTGTTTTTTGAGACAGTCTTGCTTGCTCTGTAGCCCAGGCTGGAGTGCAGTGGCACGATCTTGGCTCATTGTAACCTCTGCTTCCCGGATTCAAACAATTCTTCTGCCTCAGCCTCCTGAATAGCTGGGATTGCGGGTGTGTACCACCACGCCCAGCTAATTTTTTATTTTTTATTTTTAGAGATGGGATTTCACCATGTTGGCCGGGCTGGTCTCGAACTCCTGGTCTCAAGTGATCCATCCACCTTGGCCTCTCAAATTGCTGGGATTACAGGCAAGAGAGAGACACTGTGCCCGGCTCTATATTTTCTTCTTTCCGGAAGTCATGAGCCAGGAAAGAGTAAGTGAAACTTTTAAAAAATATAGTTGTTTTTCTTACTCTTGTGGAACATTTTGCTTAGTTGGTAGACATTTATAACAAGAAATGATTGGCTCTTTTAAAAATAGGAATCCTAGTGGCTGATATGTTTTGTCATGTGTTTTAAAGTGCATGTCTTTTTGTGTCTTCTTCCAGCCTGAACACTTGCCTTTGCAGACTCAGTTCAAAGAAAGTGAAGCTGGCAGTCTTCAGCACTCTGTAAGTAACCATGTTGTGGGTATCAGCCCGGGTGGAGCTAGTAGCTAACATGCTTATTAAAATATCATTTAATTGTATACAAGTTCATTTTGTTCATCTTTCCCCTATTTGAGTGTCTCTGCTAAGATTTAGTAAACTCCTTGAGCTTGTTTACTCTTAGAAGTAATCAAGTTTTATGAAACCCATAACCAGGCAGAAGAGTCTGCACCAGAGACACCACAGAACATCATGGGGGGTTCATTTTATAAGTGCTAGCTGAGGCCCAAGGTCAAGCCAGAAGGAAAGGTCAAGACATTTGGCAGATGTTTTCAGTTTTGTCAGGCATATGTTCAAATGCCAGTTCATTTTGCTGTGTCCTTTCCCCGGTTCCCCAGAGTTAAGACGAGGTTTCTTTTGTTTGGTTGGTTAAATTCTCTGTATATCTCATATATTCATTTCAAGCTTGAGCCTTGCTTGAGAGACTCCTGAGGTTTATAACCCCAGTCTTCTGCAGGTTACCTTAACTGATAGCAACTCCAAATTTCAAAACCTGAAACTGATCTCAGTCCCCCTTAGTCACAATTTTGTATTTGGGAGCTGCTACTTTTCTGATTCAGGATATTATAAGCAACAAATGACTGGAAAATATAAGTTGTTGAACTTTACCTTGTCATTTAATAGTTTTTGGAGTAATGAGTCAGGGACACTAAACTGTAATGAATTTGTTCTTGCCTGTTTTTACCAGTGCTAGGAAAATGCAAACAGCTGTTCTGCTAATGTAAGCAATGTTTGAATTTTTAGAATGTACTAAATAGCAGGAGTTTTGACTATGAAGATGAGAATCCAGTTGGGGAAGATGGCAGTCAGCAGACGTACCCTCTTTACAATCAGATGTGCTACCAAGACCGGAGCCCTAGCAAACATCATCAAAACGATGCTAAGAGAATCTACATCAACCCACAAGAACATTATGTGTGATTTTTCTCTTTTTCCAATGAGCATTCTAACAAATGTTTATTCTTAGATTGGGGAGAGAGACTGAGGCCAATAGTTATTTAATTGTCTCTCATATAGAACAGTCCCACTCTAAGGGTATTGGAAGTCTTAATGAACGACACAAAGCCAATAGCAAATTTCTTGTCTTCATTAAGGGTTTCTTAACCACCAGCTGTGTTTGTGAACTTGACTCTAGCTTTGTGTGTTTCTGTGCCAATGGTGTTTAACTACTAACATTTGCCCTACAATGGCATTTTCATTTAACAGTACAGCATCTGCCTGTGATAACTGCAGTGATTCTCCAGAAAGAAAGGCCCCAGCTGGTACTATTAACTTTGTTGGGTCTCAGGCATGCTAGCCTGTTCATCTGTAATTCACACGGGCATGAAAATGAGTTCAGAATCTATTTCACTAATTATTTAGTTGGGATTTGGATTTCCCTGACATATTTAATACAATTACAATACCTGAGGAAAGAGGCAAAGTTTGTTCTTCATCCAAATAGCAGCAAAATGCAGTTGAAAACTTGGAGCCTGCTGGTTGCTTTTAAACCCTCATGTTATTATGATATATATTCCTTGTTGATCACTGATGTCCCGAGGGATACATACCTCTTGCTGTTATATCTGCCTACTCTTGACTAGCTGTGTATAACAAAGGTTCTTCTATTGCTTTGTCATTCTTCCTACAGTCCTGCTCTTTGCTAGCTAGATTAGCCTATTTTGCACCTATTAAATTCTAAAAACCTTGTTTAAATGGTGTACAGCTTTTAACCTTGTTCTTCTTTCTCTAGTATTTTACATGACAGGCTCAGCTTTCACTTCTGAAATTTCTTTCAAACCAATCCCAGCCACAGTCTTTACCTCCCCCTCTGCATTCTTCAGATCACTTATCATCCATGTTTTATCTACCTCAGAAAAGCCTGCTGGAAAGTTACCATGAAATAACTTCTGCTCTTAAAAGCAGGTGAAAATTTTGAAAACTTAAAAGGCACTTCAATATGGCATGTTTGTTAAACCCACATGTTCTTTATCCCTTCTCCTGCTTTACCTGGTCACCGAGAGTCAAGAGGTGCTAAAAAGTAAACATAATGACTTATCTACCATGGTACCCTGTACACTGTAGTGCCTGTAAATGTCTGTCTTGAGTTTTCTCATCTCCCTTTGCTAACTTTCCTTCCCTGAGATTGACAGTAGTAGTTACAATGAGGTGATTAAAGAGCAGAGGTGGAAGGAACACAGTTTCACATGAATGTCCATCACTTCCTCACATCTTAAGAAAAGCATCTTACTGTGTGTTCTGGAAGATTAGAGGTGTGTCAAATATATAGAAAATGCTACAAACTCTGCATATATTAGGAAAGAGTGTATATTTGCAACCTAAACTTCAAGGGTAGAGGAGAATGTTAGCACAGATTTCTAATGAGATGCCAAAGATACATTACGATTTATATTGTGCTGGCTCTAGTTCTTTGTCTGTTTCTTTCTTTTTTTTTTTTTTTTTTTTTTTAGTTGCCATGCTTTATCAAATTATCCAGGTAGTTTTACAGCAGAAATATTTTCTCCCCCATTTACCTGAGTGACTAACAACTCTGGGAGAAAGGATGCTTAAATTCCAACTCAATGCTTTAGCTAGGTAACTAGCAATGTTAAAGTCTATAGCTGTAAGGATCAAAGGGTGAATTCCAAGGATGCTCATTGCTACTGTGCTACCTCAGAGTAGGAGTTTACGGCCCTTTGTAGCAAAGAATATATTCAACTTTATTATTTGGAAGACCAACACTGAATTAGTGTAACTGAAGGTATAGGAATCCTGGCAATTGTTTTCCAATAGGATGATGGCTGTGATCAGAGCTCTCCTTGACAAGGAAGTGTTTCATAAACCCTGGATGTTATGGAGGCAATAATGTGGTGCACCAGCTCCTTTAGAAAGCTTTAGAAATGTCAGTGCCTTACATGTTGGCGATAGTTTCCAGGGTCCTGCTGGCAAGTGAATTGTTGAATTAGTTTCACAAAAGCATACCATAGACCCAGGGGAGTGGCTGTCTTCATTTGCATAAGAGAAAGGAATTTGGAAACACTGGTTCTCAGGAGCCCTGTGGCCTGTCTTCAGCGCCCTCCTTCTCATGAGGAGCTTTCTGTCTACCTTTTAAAATTCTCAGTGTAGTTATGAAAAAGAAATTGCAGGATGTAGTCTCACCTCTCCTGAAGCCACTGAGTTCAATATCTACTTTGCCTTTGCGTCACCTGTGATACTTCTTTAACTAACTGGTAGATCATATAGCTCTTGGCCCTTTACACAGGTCACGTAAGTTCTATAAGCTGATCCTGGTGTCTTCCATTTGTTCTCTCTAAAAACTGGGCTAAATAGAAAGCAGCTTTAAAAGGGTTTGATCAGCCAGCCCTCTCTTCAAAAGTTGCCATCCAAAATTAGCCTGTTGATCTCTAAATTTGGAGACTAGACTACTTGACAATGCCATTTAAATTTGGAAATTAGATTCTTAAAGGTCAGTGATTGAGGTTTAGGGTTATAATCCACAGCTGATATTAGATACTCTTCCCATAACTTGTTTACTAAAACACTGTGAAACATAAATCCCCAGAGTGCTTATCTACTTATGGTTGCAGCTTTGCATTTCTGGGTGGGGTGTGCATGCTCACCTTAAACACACAGCATTTATTGCCTACTTTGTAGGTAGCCCAAGCTCCAGGAGTGTGCATTGTTGCTACAGTAGCAGATCACATTGTTCTTTGCACACCACACTAAGAACAGAGCATGCACACCACCTACAATTAGCTTGATGTAATGGTATAAGAAGTCCATGTTCTTTGGGGCATGTAATATAGAATTCTTACTGGGCCAGGCTTTTATGTACATAATAGATACTTAAGAAATGTGCTGAAAACTAAATGAACGGGTTTCCCCATTACTTTCCTACGGCCTTGTTTACTTATAGGGACAAGATAGTTTCTTCATCCTGTTATTGCAAATGATTTCCTGGAACCCCTTTCACAGTAGTCTAAAATTCACTATTTGGTTTTCCATTTATCATTCTTTTCCTGCACTATACTGGTGTTCTGGCGCTATTCTTTATATACAGTAGAGCTTTCTATTAAGCCTCATTCCCTGGAGTTTGGAAGGTAGACCATTTACCAAGTATCGAACGAACAGGTACTCCCAGCTTCACCTCTTTCTAGCCATTGAAATAGGCAAGTCACTTAACCTGTCTGGGGTATCATTTGCAACCTCTGAGAATTGTGGTGAGAGTTGAAGAAGATGATAATGAATGGGAAATTGGAGAATTGTAATTTTCCTTCAAACTGACAAATGTCTATGACTCTCTCATTGTTGCATATTGAACCTAAATGTCCAGGGCCCTCGCCAGCATTTAGAGTACTGTAGTTTCCCTAGTGATTACCAAGTGGCAAAATGAAAATTCCAGTTTGATCAAATTCACGTATAGCCAAGTGCAAGTTAGAGAAGTTCCTTTTACTGTAACAAATAATTGTCATGTGGAAAGCTCTTTATCTGAATTTTAGCTGCTTAGGCTTTAGCTAGAATTGAAAATGCATGTTACTATTACCAGTATTTGCTCTTATTTTAAAAACTGCTACTAATAACAAGTAACATTATTGAGTATATAGTATGGATTGGGTTCTAGGGCAAGTACCTCACATGAATCATCTCAAGGAGTAGAACCAGACTCCTGTTTTGCCCTCTTCCCTGGAGCTCCTGTGGGGACACACAGGCTCACACTCCCCTGCCATACAATCTTAGGGCATGGTGAGCAGCAGTTGGCTGTTACTTCTCCCAAATCTGCTTTTGGGAGTGGGGAATATAGTTTTTAAATTATTTTTAAAGCAGAGATATAAGAGAGTATATAGAATAAAACCATCAGAAATGTTTATTAAGATGAAAGCAAGTACATATGCTCATTTTTTTACTTAACTATGGGTAATCCAAATGCTCAGAATCTCATATTCATTAGATTACCCATAGCTACGAAAACAGCCAACCAAAATTACAAGTACTTCATCCCAGTTGGCTCAACTTTAGTGGGCACAAACCTCTCTAACATCTCTCCCTCAACTTAGTTCTTCAATATGCTCATTGCTCTGTTTGTTACACCTTTATTGAACTCCCAGGAGTGGCAACACTCCTATGCTGGACAACTGGAAAGAAGTCAGAAAGACAGAAGAATGGAAAAGCATCAAACAGAAACATCACAGTCCCCACTTGTGGCTCAGCTCTGTGCTTCTCTTCTTCCTGTGTTTGGCTAAGGCTGTCCCTTCCTTGTTAAGTCATTTGTAGATGTTATAGCAGGACCAGGGAGTTTCATATCTGTTAAACTAGAAGCTGCTATTTCCAAGCTTATTTCAACTGTTGACTATGTCTGGATTGATATTGTTATATCTACAAAAGTATTGGGTTTCCTCTGCTAGAGAACATTATAACCTGGCCTTTGCCAATTTGGGAACTCATAATTATTAGGTTGTTTTGGCAGCCTTCAGTAGATAGAAATGTGTGAGGGCTGTAGGTCTCCCAACCTCACCAGGTGGTACTTTACACTGAAATCAGGTCTTAGACCAAGAGCTGCATCATGCATGTTTATGAGCAAGCAGGCACCAGAGCAGTCATGCAACCTGTTCTGTAAGCTTAAAAAAGTCCCAACTCTGTCCTTCTGTGCAACCCAACATTATCCTACCTAGAAGAGTTATTAGAAGTAAATCCAGGAATTTCTATTTCTAGGTCCTTAAGGAATCACCACACTGTCTTCCACAATGGTTAAACTAATTTACACCCCCACCAACTGTATAAAAGTGTTCCTATTTCTCCACATCCTCTCCAGCATCTGTTGTCTCCAGATTTTTTAATGATCGCCCTTCTAACTGGCATGAGATGGTATCTCAATGTAGTTTTGATTTGCATTTCTCTAATGACCAGTGATGATGAGCATTTTTGTGGCACATATACACCATGGAATATTATGCAGCCATCAAAAACGATGAGTTCATGTCCTTTGTAGGGATATGGATGAACCTGGAAACCATCATTCTCAGCAAACTGATACAGGAACAGAAAATCAAACACCACATGTTCTCACTCATAGGTGGGTGTTGAACAATGAGAACACGTGGACACAGGGAGGGGAGCATCACACACTGGGATCTGTCGGGGGGAAATAGGGGAGGGACCGGGGTGGGGGCGAGTTGGGGAGAAATAGCATGGGGAGAAATGCCAGATATAGGTGATGGGGAGGAAGGCAGCAAATCACACTGCCATGTGTGTACCTATGCAACAGTCTTGCATGTTCTTCACAAGTACCCCAAAACCTAAAATGCAATACAAAAAAGAAGTGAATCCAGGAATATTGTAGCAGATTCAGTCAGGCGAGTCAATTCTTAGTTTCACTTCTAACAGAGTAAGTTAGGAATCCCAAACTGCTAGCCTTATCAGATTCTTATATACTGCTCATGGGAGGAGTAGGGTGCCCTACAACGCTTGGGCTAATCCACATATCTTTAACACTATTAATTTGACCATTGGAAACATTTACTTATTAACAAAATCTCTGGTGTTAAGTTACAAATAAAGTTTTTGTGGTAGTCTCTGAAGTGACTAGAGTTTTTTTTTTTTTCAAATGCTAACAGCCCTGAAGTTGTATTCCTGATTAGGACATGTCAGATGTTAAGCAACCACCCCCAGAGTAAGTATTGTGACTGATTAACATATGCCAAAATAATTTAAAGAAATTATATCAAGTGTAACAGAATTTGTTAAAGATTTTGCAGATTATTCTACCCTCACAGTAGCGTGGAGTGGAGCTGTTTACCACTCTAAACTCAACAACCTGCTGCATAGAGTTGAACTGGCATTTATCCTTAGTGACAGCCTGTTCTTTCTTAGGGGTATGTCTGTGTGTATGTAAAAATTGCCACTAAAAATTTGCAGCTCAGAAAACATTTTGCAGTTCATGTGTACAAGAGAATCACACCCCTGCAAACTTCTCACTAATTCAGACACATTTTATTATATTTGTGTTAACATTAACTCTGCACGAAGGTTAGAGGCAAGAACAGAGAGGCCACATTTACCTTTCCAGTCTCAATACATGAAACATTAGGTTATTTCTATGTTTTTCCTATTATTGGGTTTGTTATTCTTCTCAAGTTTTAATTTGACTGTAGAAGTTTGAAGCAGAGTAGACTAAAATTAAAAGGAACATAAACAATTCAGAAGAACATAAAAAATGTTGTCATACATTATCAATTGGGGTAATGATGTACAAGTTCCCTCTGAGCCTCAGGGAGAGAGGAAACTACCACTGACAAATAAAAACATCTTCCATTCCATTAGTTATGAGTAAACCCATTCCATTAATCCTTCCCGCAAAATATTCTAGTTACTGTTTGAGGGCTGAGGTTATGATATCTATCAAATGACATGCCTCCCTACATCAAAAAGTACTAGTTACATTCTGTATCTTAAAAGTGATTAACTTCCCTAATTTAAGAGGAATAAATGCTTTGAATATTATTGCCATATATATATATGGAAAACAACATTTTCATGAGTTGAAAATGGGCAGGGTACTATCCTAAATGCTCCCATTCGGTAGCTGTGTTTACAGCTGCCACTAGCACATGATTTGTAGAAGACGCATATCAGCTGGACCCAAGAAGATACACTCGTGGACTTAAGATGATTAGATTATAAATGCCATCCCACACAATCTTTAATAAAACCCAGGTGAGCTATATCATTCTTTGCTGCATCAAAAGATGAGAAAGCAAACAGTTGCCCTCTTGTGTTTTTTCCCAACAATAGAATTTATAAAGTTTCTATAATCAGGTGTCCTGTGACCCAGCAGGATCCTTGGTACCATGACCTAAATTGGTTGTATTTATTATCATGGTATGGAATTTGACAGTGAAAATTGATTAGAGACCATGAGGGAAAGCTTCCCTGGAGATCCAGAACATCAGATTTGCTATACTGGCTTGGAACTGTGGCCTGTCCTACTACAGATGTGTCTGTCAACCATTAAGAGATGTTTTATGTGTCTTTCAGAAGTTAATTTCCCTTAATAAATCACAGTGGATCTTTGAATACCAGAGTTGTACGTGATTTTCCAAGTGAATGGGCACCATTGTTTTGGTTTTAAATACCCTTTCCAATAATGACTGGTATTTTTAGAAACCTACCCTAGCATATTGATCAGCCTAAATTAAGTTCCTCTCTCAAGCCTTATTGATGGCTCAGTGCCCATTATATTTTAGCTAGAGGTAATAGCAGTTTGTCTTACATGAGTTAGTTTGTACTTGCCCAGGTTGTAGCTCATTTAGGCCTCTGCTTTTTCCCCCATGGTCTTATGAGAACTTACTGCGTATATTTCCTTCAGCTGAGCATTTCAGTACTCAGACAAGTGTTTGTCATTTTAGGTCTCATTGCATACTTGAAATTCCAAGTCCTTTTCAAAAGATATGTTAAGTAGCTGGTGTTGCTACTAGACCCCTGGATTATCCCACTTGTCCATCCGTTAAAGTTCCTGTTTATTCTCTACCTTCTGTTTCTATTTCTAAGCCAACGCTTTAAGACATAACATCTGCTCCAGCCTGTTCGCTCTCCATGTGGTTTTAAACTCTTAACTTCTTTACTTCTAAGCTTCATCCCTGCAAGTAAGTGCTCTCTACCTCACAGGGGTTTTATGAGAGGGAAAAAAGATGTTTAGGGTTGTTTTAAGAGAGAGATCCTTTTTTTTAAAGTTGTTTTATCAAATCCCCTTGGGTTAGAAATTCCTATTCTCATTTTGCTATTTTTATTTCTGAAAAGTGATCTGTCTGAAAGAGTCATATCTGGTTTTAACTTTCTCCTCATTAACCGTTTTCACAGTGAAATCTCTACCTTATTCATGCTCTGAACTTTTTATTTATGGAACCCAAGCTAATTTTCCCAAAGACAAATCCCACATACTTTTACTCCTATCATTAAACAAATTGATGTCCTCCACAAAGAAACATCTGGCTCTTCCTGGAAGAATTCAGAAGCTAATGAGGTGTCACTCTGGCCTTTGCAAGATCTCACAGTGTGCCTCAGTGTTCCCTGTGTAAACTGAGGTAATCAGCTATTTCCCAGCGTCCAGGTGTTGTGGGGTCTAATAAATGGTGAAAAACATTTTGCAATTGTTCTGTACTATATAAATGCATAGTGCCTAATATGGAGAGTCTTCAAGCAGAAATGTGTTCTAACTCAATTCGGAATACTAATTCACCCATTGTTTTCAAAAGAAATATTTTACTAACCTGTTTTTTTAATTAGTTTCT